CGGTTCTACAATTCGCCAAGCGCCTAGTTGGGGCGGGCGCCGACGTCACCTTCGTCACCACCTACTTCGCCCACCGCTGCATGGCCAAAGGTAGAGGAGACACAACCGCGGCCGCCAACCGAAACGGCGGAGTGTCAATATCCTACGTGCCGTTCTCCGATGGACACGACGACGGGTTTAAGCCGGGGGACGACTTTGGCCACTACCTGAACGAAATCCGCCGCCGCGGATCGCAGGCCATCTCCGACCTCGTCATCTCCGCTGCCAAAGAGGGACACCCTTACACCTGTCTGGTCTACTCCCTCCTCATCACGTGGGCCGTGCTGACAGCAGAGGAGCTCTGTCTGCCGTCCGTCCTCCTATGGATTCAGCCGGCCACGGTTTTCGACATCTATTACTACTACTTCCACGGCTACGGAGACATCATCAGAGAAAACAGTACTGAAGACCCTTCAACTGACCATAACTCATCAACGACACTACCGGGGCTTTCGTTGACGTTCCCCCGCCGCGATCTTCCGTCGTTTATGGACGCAGCTAATACTTACTCCTTCGCTATTCCCTTGTTCAAAGAACAGCTTGAAGTACTTGACAAGATTAAAAATCCCAAGATACTAGTAAACACATTTGATCAGTTGGAGCTGGAGGCGTTGAAAGCGATTGAGAACCTGAGCTTGATCGCAATCGGACCCTTGATTCCGTCGGCTTTCTTGGACGAGAAAGACCCTTCTGATAATTCCTTCGGAGGTGATCTAATTCATGTTGATCATCATAACTACATTGAATGGTTGAACTCCAAACCAAAAGGGTCGATCATTTACGTGTCGTTTGGGAGCATGGTGGAGTTATCAAGGCCTCAAATGGAGGAGATCGCAAAAGGGTTGTTGGATTGTGGACGTCCCTTCTTGTGGGTCATAAGAGAGAAGGCTAAGAAGAAAGAGAGTGAAAAGAAAAACGAGGAAAGAGAAGAAGAAGAAGAGAAACTAAGTTGTCACGAGGAATTGTCAAAGCTAGGGAAGATAGTGCCATGGTGTCGCCAAGTCGAAGTTTTGTCGAGCGCTTCTTTGGGGTGTTTTGTGACGCATTGCGGGTGGAATTCTACGTTGGAGAGCTTGGTTTGTGGAGTTCCGGTCGTCGCGTTTCCGCAGTGAATTGAGAACGAATGCCGTGAAATGGAGGGATTTGGCGAGAGAAGCTGCGAAGGAAGGCGGGTCTTCTGATAAGAATCTCAATGCTTTTGTGGCTGAGATGATTGGTGAAGGTGATCATGATCATGGTTTCTTGGACTAGAATAGCCGATATTGTATCGACAAATGGAAAGGCAGTTCTATTCATTATCATGAATGTTGAGTACGCGCATTTGTCTCAATTTATAGCCTATACGCCCTATTTATCCTTACAGGTATTTTATACTCATTAAATACAAAAGTAGGGTTTATTTGTAATGTCTATGTGAATCCCACCGCAAAGATGTGTTTACGTTGATAAATCTCTATCGAAAAAAAAAGAATTTTCTTTATTAGTCATCTTGACATTAGTTTCAGTGGGGCACGTAGTCAAGATAAGGTTTTGAATTAATATTGATACAATATAGGTGAAAACTCTAGACTCTCTAGTACTACTAATTCCAATACTTTTCTTTTTTGGGTTAAATACCGACAGTGTAAATAAACTCTAATGTTAAATTATAAAAAACATTAAGACTACAATAAAAGTAAAAAAACTCTTATACTTTATACTAATAAAATAATCATCTTCAATACTCTAGTAGTTAATTATATTTAAAATATTCTTTAAAATACCATATTTCATGCACTAATTGTAATTTATTTCTTAGATACTTAAAAATGTTTCATATCTATTGAATTCTTATTTACCAAGGGAAAGTACGTACACACATTATGAAATTTTTACAAATGTGTGTGTATATATATATATATATATATATAAAGCACGCATAGAGAAAGAAAGCTGAGAGGTGAATAGTAAAATTTAAGTTTGAAAACTAAGAATTTGTAGAATATAAAAGTGAATATGAAATAACGAAAATTGAGTGCAAAATTGGCGACGAATAATATATGAAAAATTTACAACAGTAGAAGTTACACTAATATTCATAAAAAGTGAGTCGGGGTACTTGAGAGGTAATACTATGAAATTCAATAAATATGTAGGCTATTTTGAAATCTTCAGAAAGAGAGTGGGGAACTAGACCCCTTCATTAGTTGAGGAAAATAGATAAATATTTTTTAAAAGTGTATGATATGGACTTTTACCTCTTACTCTTAACTAATATAATTTTTAGTCAAATAACTATATCACTCAAAAGGATGTAAGGGATACAAAAAGTTTAGCAAGCTATTAATGGATTAGATTAATATGTGCTTCGTATCGTGTCGGTCCCATCGTGTTGAATAATTTTGCTTCATTCATTCTTATAATCATATCATGTCATGTCAATTTAACATGCTCAAAACTATGAGCCTACCAATTTGATGTACTGTAACGCCCCTCCCAAGCTAGCAACTCGAAAATCACCAAACTCAGAAGCAACGTTAGCTACTTTTAACTTAAAATAAAACAATACTTCATAATAGAAATAAGTGTCTCTCCATTTTATTTTCCCTTCTATTTCCTCTCTTTCCTTTTTTTTTTTTCCTTCTCTCTATTTTCAATTTCCTTATCTTTTTTTTTTTCACCAAGTCTGACGTTGTACTCCATAATTAAATTGGAGTAATAGAACTCCTAACATATATAAAGGTAGAACAGATGAGATAATTTATAAATCTCTTACATACGCAGCAATTACATGAGTATAATTTCTTCTGCATGCAACTACAGACATGAATTTACCTAAGCCACATATTCACTATGTGGAAGTGTCATAATACTTAGGTTGCTTACTAATTGTCATTTCCACACCTCAAGCGAATATTAGTAAATTCATGTCTGGAAATAAAGAGTCAAATAATTACACTATTTATCATTCAGAACTCTAACTAAATGAAGTTAGAGCAAATTAATCTAAAAATTGGTCTTTTCTTCGTAGCAGTAATAACTGGACTCTGAACGAATATCAAAAGTCATTCAAAACTCAATTCAAGACTTTAAATTGTAAAGTTCATGGCTAGAATCTGCAAATTTGTTAAAAGCAATACAAAGGGAGGAGAAAGAAGAAAATAAGTCAAGACTTGAGATGAATTAAAATTAATAAGCCAATAGTTTACATAAGTTAATAAATAGGCTAAATTACTGTTTTCGTTCACAACTTGTCTGGTTATGAACCATAACTTGACAAGTTATTGTCTATAATTGTCCATAACTTATCTGACTATAAACTATAACTTGATAAGTTTATCCATAATTTATCTGATTATAAACCATAACTTGACAAATTATGACATATTAATTTTTATAACTAAAAATTAACCTATATACTTTTTTAAACTTTTCATATTAGTCTATTTTATACTATTTCCTTACAAAGGGTAGGCAGACTAGACTAGATTGATGGCGGACTTTGGATCGAGTCAAAGCGCTGAGTCGTGATAGTTGAATATTCTACAACAGTTTGGAGTTCTTGGCTATATAAATGTGTAAATATATGTAGCAGTTGGAGAATTAAATGCGTGAATAAATTGTATAAAGTTGAATTTTGTACAACCTTCAGAAACGCTATTAATAGTCAGACAAAGCCCCCTCATTGGCTGCTCCGTGGCCTTGTTTATTTTTATTTATTTATCTACTGATGTTTCTACTCTAGCTAGTTGTTGCGGATGACTTGTGTGATTGGGCGTGAGTTTCTGCTATCTCGGGCCGAGTTTCTGCTAGGGAAGGTCAAAATCTTTGCGGAGAAATTTTATTCTCTAGTCCATTTCTTAACCAAGTGAATTGTTATCAATAAGAAAATGATCATATAAGAAAAACTGGAATTTTCTTTGGCGACCACGCAACGATGTTATAAGATAGTTGTACAGGTTTGACTGATGACCCGACTCTAATAGCATATACAAATTAACAGTATACCAAGCATCATCTTCTCTGACTAAAATAAAATTTCAAAGACCTAATGTTTCCGTAGTTACTTTTGCCTATGATCAAAGCAAACGTAGGCCCCTTTGGATGAAGTAATTGGTTTCAAAATGTATAGCCTGTTAAGAGTAAATGAAACTGTATAGCCTGTTAAGAGTAAATGAAATTGTATAGCCTGTTAAGAGTAAAACATCGTGGACGTTTAGTTTATGCATTCAGAATTATAATTTAAAATTATTCTCGATTTATGTGTGTTTTTTATCAGAGAAAATACTATAACAAACCACGAACCATGATTTAAATTATGACACGAATACACCAACTAAACGCACCAGTCTAACATGATCTAAATATAAACACAGCCACATATATATAAAGATATTAGACCACCCAACTTAATTCGCTAACCTTTTTATAAAGTCTAATGTTTCTCCTTCCTCAAACTCAACTCTCTAAAATAGCCGACAATTTTGCTCTAATTTACGCTCTGTACCACTTTTAAATGAAAATAAAAAAATTAGATAAAAACAAGTTAGGATATTCAAAAATATTCCCCCCCGACTGCCTACTTAAAATTAGATCAAACAAATTAGTTTTACGTTATAATCTGAAAATTTTGGTCCTGGTTAATAATTAAAAGGGAAAAAAGACAAAAATCTAAGGCATTTAAGAAATTATATAAATCTCTATATTCCTCTTTTATAAACAAATAACTTTTAAAGTAAAAAAAAAAACAATGTAATCCTACAAATATAATAAAAAAAGTTGTAAGAGAGAGAAAGAAATAACAAATAGTTAATGCAAATTGCAAGAAAGAAAAGCCTATAGATTTTAATTTATGTTATGAATAGTAACTGTCCTTTTCAATCAAAATTACAATACAAATAAGTTAAAACTGTTCATGTTAAAATTTTATTGTGCAAATAGTAATCGTAAATAGCAAGTACTATACAAATAATAATCATGAATAGTGCCAAAAAAATTCTTATTAATATAATTCTAAGACTTCATTTTATATACTTTCACAAGATTAATTGAACTCTCTAATTTCTCTCTCTAAAGTTTTTCCCGTTAGATTTGCATTTTCTTAATTTTCATAATAATTTATACATTTATGCCGTGAAAGGAACACAAGAAATATTACATACAGTGATCGAGTATGATTAAAAAGAAAAGAAAAAAGCCAAGGGCAGCATGGTCTTTCTTGATCAAGTTTAACCGTCAGGACGCAGGAGCATCACTAGCCTTCACAAATCGGCCTTTAACTCGCTTCCTAGTGTCCGCTCTTGCCTTCCTTGACTCGTACCGTATGTGCTTGTCATATCTATAAATATATATAATCATGTCACACACACACACACACACACACATATATATATATATATATTCAGAAACACACACACACACACACATATATATATATATATATATATTCAGAAACACACACACACACACACATATATCATTCTGAGGAACAAAAGACTGACTTGATTTTGAGAGCAATTAATAACTCTAGGAACATCCAGTAGTTTATCAAAACTAATTTTAGATAGTACTTGCATAATGTGATAATTGACTTGTTGACATATAATTAGAAAATAATATTTAAATTTCTTGTGCTAAAATTCAAATAATTAGATTTCTAGTAAACCAAGATAGAGAAATATACACGTATACGTTACCTTCGGGTTTTCTTCTTTTCCTTGTAACGTTGCATGGCGTTGCCTCTGTTCTGCGCCAGCATCTCGAGATCCACCTTGGTCGCCACGGCGGTTGTTTTCATCGTGTCGCTTCTTACGAGGAAAGGTCCTTCCATGAAATCCATACTGTCTTTTAACGCGCTAGATCCTATGCTTTTACTGAAAGCGGAAGCACATGAGGGTCTTCCGATAGGTAGGTTGTTGCTCTCGGACGTTCCTGGCCCTTGGCTCGCAGTCGCGTTATTCTGTGTTTTGGAATCGAAAAAACAAAGTGATTACGTGATAAAAGAAAACCAAAATTAACAACTAAGTAGTACATGTAACTAATGACTTGTCTAGACAACTTCCTACTACGCTTCTTTCTGTTTTTTTTTTTTTTTTTTTTTCCTTTAATCAATAAAATTTTCATCCTTTACACAACAATGAACAAATAAAATAGGAAAGGGCACATAAAACGGCAGGCAAGGACTTACATTGATTGTGATTTCATGATCATGTGGAGCAGGGAAATTTATGTGATAAATATTATCTCCCAACATTTTGGTATTTGTCAAAGACGCCTCTTTCACGAGTTCACCAAAGTTTTTAATCATAAATCCTTCGTCATTCGCACCAAAATCAACTTCTGGTTCTTCGTGCACCATCGACCGTCCCAAATGAAAGTCCCATATCTGCAACCCAACAGAAACTTTGGATTATTATTATTAAGAGCAGACAACACTACTTCAACCAGCTATATATTAATTCCTGTGACAATTATCAAAAATAACTTACGCAAAATCAGCAATTTAATACAATAATTATCAGCAAATAACTTAGAACATTTGGTGATTTCATTACATAATTACGGATATTGTTATTTATTATCATACATAACTGTGCATGCGATAATAAAATATAGAACCTTTACACGGCAAAAAATATGAGAAAAGGATCGCACACTGTTACGTAAGCCACACTTGTAGTGATTACACTAGTAGTGCTAAAATATATATACATATATCAAATAATTTATCATTTGTTCTTTTTAGGGGAAAAAAGATTCCTCCTTCCATGGACGTTTCTTCAAAAAGAACATTTTGGAGTAGGAAACAAAGAAATTACTTGAAGAGGAACAAAACGCGGAAGGAATTTTCAAATTACTTGCTACAATGTTTTTTCATACAAAAATTCACATTTCAACTTTTTTGTTATAGTTTTTTCTCCAACAAAAATTCACTTTTAAACTCAAGTTCTCAACTTGAACACCTGAAAAGAATGGATTTCTGGCTGTGCTACATTTATACTTGATTGTAGCACCTAACTAGAAAGTAGAAACAACGAAACATCCGATTCCGAAGATGAGAAAGGGGAAATACTAGTTTTGATCATTCAAAAGAATCAAAACAACAACAATAACAATAATATCATCATTTTGATGATATCTTAAGATGGCAAAAAAAAGATATATAAGGTAGCTATCTATTTAAGCATTCCAAGGAGGGAAAACCATCTAACCATGATAACATTTGTCTCCAAAGAAATTGCAGAGAGGTAGCCACAAAAGTAAGTGATCCAATTTCAAAACAAACAAATTTAAGTGAAAAATAAATAAATAAATAAATAAATAAAAACCCTCTCTGTAAAAGGCATGCTTATTCTTGACAAATATTTTAGTTCTAATAATTTTGATTATTGACTGAAACTTTATGTATAACAAAATCAGAATCATGAATTTAAATACATTTCCTAAACAGACTCTTAACAACTACGTCCTATTTGAGCTTACTACAAATCATGAATTTATCACCAAAAGTTGAAGACTAAATAAATAACTTAATCAAAAAGATTTTCTCTTTTGAAAAGACGCAATCTTTATTCCAGTTCTCCTCCATTTAAGCAATTAATTAACGTGTAAATAATAATATTTGCATAAGAATAAAAAATCCACTTTAAGATATTGTAAGAGTCATAAACTTACCTTTTAAACACTACTAATCCCCCTAGCACATATCGGATAACTTTGTGGGAGTTGGGACATTAATAGAAGAAAAAATGGAACTTAAAACGAAAAGGATGAATCTTGAAAGCAATATATATGTGTATATACACACACCCACACCCACACCTGAGTGGTCGGAGCATTGTTATTGGGATTAGTAATATCCCACAAAATATCTCCATGATCGTGGAAAACACCACCAGAAGTACCTCCACCGCTGTCTTTCAACTGATCTGCACGCTGCTGCTGCTGCGGCGGCGGCGGCGGCGACATCATTAGCAGCGACGTGAATGGTGCTTGATGATGCTGCAATTGTTGTAAAAATGGCTGATCGACCTGGTCAATACCAATTCCAGAATCCCCCAATAAAACCCCATTATCACCATCCTCAACATCACGATCATCTCCATTATTCCCCAAACACAGCGCTTCCTCCTCCTCCGCCGCAATTATCTCTCCACCACCGCCGACAACCAAACACTCCCTCCTCAGCAGCTCCGCCAGCTGCTTGTACATCACCCGCTTCTTCTTCCTCTTCCTCCCGCAAACAACGCCGTTCTGATCCTCCCCCGGCACGACCACGTCCTGAAACCTCAATCCACCGAGCTCTCCCGATCCGGACTTAGGACCGAGTCGGGTCGGATCCGTGAGGTCGAGGCCCCAAAGGGACGCGAGCTGGAGGGCGGAGGGGCAGCCGGAGAAGCCGTCGAGGGAGGTCCGGTCGTGGGAGGCGGAGACGGAGGGACAGCTGCCGTGGGCGTCCCAGTCGCAGTCGTGGCAGAGCACCAGATTCTCGGTGGAACACCGAACGGAAACTGGCTCCGACCCGCAATTGTCGCAGATCTGGGATCGGAGGTGTTTTCTGGAGAGGAGGTTGGCGGAGTGGACGTGCTGGTCGCAGAAGAGGCAGAGCTTCGCCGAGTCGGCTCTGCAGTACAGCACCGCCGTTTGCTCGCTGCAGAAATCGCACGGAACGCCGTCGTTTTGGCTGCCGGATTTTGGGCTCACCATTTCTTTTTTCTTTCTCGGTTTTTTTTTTCCCTGAGATTCAAATCAAAGCTCTGATTCTTCTGCAAAACTACTTCAAAATGTTTTTGTTTTCTCTCACTGAAACGTTTCAGTGAGAAAGAGAAAGTAAATGGTAAGAAATTTTCGTCACCGTTTGGTGGAGAGAGGAGAGAGGAGAGAGAAAGTGTGGATTGGTATGTCAGAAAATATCTGGGTGACCTTTTTGCGGAGCTGGCAACTGTCGCGTCTTTTTTCTTGTTTTTGTTTTGCGTTAGTAGTTAGCTTAGCTAAAATAATGAGCCTTTTTTATTTCTTTTATTTTTATTTTTTTCCTTATCCTTGTTCGTTTCTTTTGGCACGTTTTTGGACGGGTAAACCTTCCGACATTTCACGTGCGAAAATTTCACGCCCATAATTTTTGAGGGGGTCGTGATAGCATGTGTGACGCCCTACGATAATTAGTTAATATCGGACGTCAACATGTGTCGTTTTTCTGTCTTTTTTTTGCCCTTTTGAAATAATGTGTCGTTTTTATCTCTGTAAAAGTGAACAGCGACGTTGGATAGAGAGAAGGCAGGTTCTGAGTTTTTCTCTTGCATGCCAATTGTCAATGCCATGTTCTCTTGGATTCTAAAATTAAATCAGATTGGGTCCCATTTGAGTTTGATATGAGACTAAATCAAACTTATGGATAAAAATCACGTTTTGGTGATGCTGATCAAATCTTCATGATTTAACCTCATTCATTTCACTGATTCAAGTTTTTTATTCTAAATTTTTACAGTAAAAAATTATTAAAAAATATCACATTTAACTTTTTTGTTACAGTAAAAAACTCCAAAAAAAATGTCACATCTTAATTCGAATTAAAAACTCGAATACATGAAGTGAATGAGGCCGTGGTCAAGTTCACAGATCCTAAATGTTCTTTTTCGGCTTTTGCCCTAAAATTTTGAGCAATTTTCTAGCGATTACACGTAACTTTAAAATGTCTAAACTATCTAACAACATAATATTTGTTTTCAATATGTTGCCTATCAAAAAAAAAAAAAACGTAACTATGCGAAAATAAGCAGGAACTAGGGCCTTAAGCCTAATTCAGTCGTAATTTTTTACTATTAAGTCCTAATTCGAATCTTTTAACTACTTAATCAAAAGTTATATTAAAAAATAACTACTTTATGACAAGAATAACATATTGTACATCTGGATTGGCAGACATATATATGGTGGAGTATTAGTTGTGGTTAGATATGTGGATCCTTTTATGATAGATAAGCATTTCTACTGTATTAATTTATTAAATGGCATTAAAATTATGTCAAAGTAGAAAGCCATATAATTTAGAAGTGTACCATAAGATATTTCTCTACGTATTTTTATCAAAATATAATATTATAGATTTTTTTTTTTCAATTAGAGAAATATGTAATTTTTAGTTTGACAAAAATAGTAGTGGATTGGAGTTGAAGATGTTGGGAATAATGTCCTAAAAACATGAGATGTAATAAGATATATTTAATAAAAGAATTTATTCATTATTTTATGTGCTAAAAACATGAGATGTAATAAGATATATTTAATAAAAGAATTTATTCATTATTTTATGTGCTTATATTATTAAATATTTTATAAATATCATTGAAAATTTCATAATTATTTATGTGGCCTTAAATACTGTATATAAGTGGAAGATAATTATCAAGTTTTATTTTGAAAATAAAGTTTAAACTTCTTATGGGAGTCTAACACTACTTTATAAATAGGAGATTGTAAAAAATTAGATAACACAATTTTTACTCTCCCTAGCATATAGTGGCCGGTTTTATAGAGTGAGGAAAAGAAAATTTTTCTCTCCATTTCGACGTCGTGTATGTGTTGGTATTCGTGAAAAATTTGATTGTTTCAGTGCTAATCCCGTTTTGTTTTAAGTGTGTCCACACATACGTCTTCGTATATTTAAAGAATTAATGAGAAAAATTTGGGTATTCTAAACAAGCTTAGAGCAAAGAACGTTCGTGGTTAAATAACTCAAATTATCGACCTAATCGTTTGCTAAGTAAAATTATTCTTAAATTAATTTAATTAATTTATTTATGTATAAATTAATATATTCTATAAAATATCTCAAATGTTTATTAAAATTTTTTATCATGTACGACTCGCTAAATACACGTTTTCACATAAAAAAATCGTTTTCATGCCGACAAATGAATTGGATTGAAGATAATAGATTGCATAATGATTGAGATTTGAGATTAAGTAGCACTAATCCATGAAAATCAAAAGGAAAAAAAAAGGTGGAATCATATATCTAATGATGCGAAGCCAAAAGAGAGGAGGGAAACAAGAAAAAAGAAAGCTTTACGAAATGTAATTGGTAACAAGCGAACGGGAGTCAAAATCGTGAGTGGGACCACCAGATACATGTGAGATCACGAGCAATACGGCTATTGACGGCAAATCTTTTGATAATAATTTAACTATGTTCTACTGTATCTTTTCATTGAAAAAAAAAAAAAAAAAAATTCACGATTAACACAAAAGAGAAGGTCTAGAAAGCTTAGAATACTTGAATTGCGGCTCTCAAAACGGTGGTCGTCATGCATGACGCCATCCATAGCTATTTCCGGATTTTCCACCCACCATCCACCGCACCGTTCTGCTATTTCTTGTTTTTTCTTTTTAAAGAAATTATTATATTATAACTATTATTATCTTCTTATTAAGTTTTTATTTTCCTTTTCTTTTTTGGATAAGTTAACACCGTTTTAAACCGTTTACATATTAGAGCACTTTTCATATATTATCAAATTAATGTGCATATTTGGTTCACCGTATTATTATATTATATAATATTGTATAATTTTTATATAATATAGTGTTTGGTTAATAGTATTATTAAATATTATATTATTTTTATTATTTACGTATTAGTTTATAATAAGATAAAATTTAGGCTTACTCATAATTTAATTCGAGTCTAATTTTAACTCGAACCCAACATTTGAAGGAAGCAAAAGAGAAAATAGAGTTGCTACATATGGGTCTTTTTACCAAAAAAAAATTTGAAAAATGGGGTCAAATTGTAAATTTTAAAAGATTTAGGGTGAAAATATAATTTTAAAATCCAGGGGTCAAAACATAATTTTAAAATTTTATGTATCAAAATATAATTTTTGAAAAGATTAGGGTCAAAATGTAATTTTTTTAAAATATAAATCCAATATTACTCCAGTCCTGAACTCGACCCCAACGTCGGTCACAAAATCCAACCCCGAGCCTTGATATTTGTGAAATATTTTATATGTTTTTAATATGGTATTTGAAGTTAAATTGCATAATACAGTATAATATATATGTTTTTTTCTTATTAGATATTATATTTCGTATTGTATTAATTTTGAATCTCGTATTAAATTATACAATGTCACCAAACATTGTATTATTATTAAACAATACAATACACATGGTCTTAATATATTATTTTAATATTTAAATAATATTATTATTATACAAAATAATGTTATTTTTGGTGATACTTTGGTACCAAATAAATTTAACACACTTATATCAATTTTGAAGTTTAATTACTATTGTTAATGTATTGACTTCCTTTGATTATTATAACATTGTAAATTATTTCAAAACTAAAACTTTTACTTTCAAGTTACAAATTTTCATAATTATCAGATATAGCTATTTAATTTTATTTCAAATAATGTATTTACTTTTTTTCCCCTCTGTGTTTTGTGTTTTCTATCACGGATATGATCGGCTGGATGCATCAATTCCGAAATAAGAGATGAAAAAAGCATTTAATATAAAGAGCATTTCCGATCAAAATGCTGACATCAATTTTATATATAGGATCAAAAAATATATTAAGATATGTTATTTTCATTTATCGTGAAATGTATGATGTTTTTGAAATATTAAATTTTATTTTTTTATAATCATTAAAAGAACTTTTATTTCTAAAATAATTTGAGAATACAAAATTTACTATAAAAAGGTAAATATATCAACTAATAACAATTAAATAATAAATTTATCATATGCTATGTTTGATAGGAAATTTATAATAAAGTATAGCATATAATACATTTGTATAACATATAGCATTGTATTGGATAATATTTTTTTCACTCAAATATTAAATCTATAATTAACACATTAATTATAACATTACATTAGAGATGCTATAAAGTGTTTAAACCCGATGATTTTTTGGCTTTTTCTTCCAAAAAGAACTGGGATCTAGTTGGGAGCAATTTGGTGTTGGTTTTCCTTTCATTAATCCTTAACGATCGCAGGTATGTGGAAGCTCTGAATGCGGTCCTTATTCCTTAAGAACAAGGATCCAAAAAGGCGTCAAATTTGCACCGTATTAGCCTATGCAATGATAATTCTTTAAAAAAAATAATTCGAAGGCATTGGCTAATAAATTGAAAAAAGGTCCTACCCGACATCATTTTCCAAAAGCAAAGCACCTTTGTTCCGAAAAAGCTCATTACACATAATGTGCTCGTGGCCTTTGAAGTGCTACATTTGATTTGTACGAACACCGATCTTAAAGACGGTTTGATGGGGCTCAAAATATATGGCCCTTCCTTGATGCTTTGGTGAAGAAAATGGTACATATTTGGTAACAATACTATGTTTTTTTCACAACTTAAATTTTATTGTTACAGTATTTTTTCTCATAAAAATTTAAATATAATTTTTTTATTATATTATTTTCTCTCACATAAATAAACTTGAGTCTTGAGACAAACATGCATCGATAAATTCATATTGTTTTGATTGCATGACAACATCAAGCTCTCACTTACTTTTAATGGTGTAGTGCAAGGTTCAACTCAGATAAGGGGGTCGCTTTTTTTTTTTTTTTTTTTTTTTTTTCTGGCTCCTTACGTGTGCTAAAAGGTTGACTAAGAGTCTTTAGGGGTTGTTCTTTTGGAGTGCAACTTGAGTGTAGTTTTTGAGTTGAATTTGAGTTATAATTTGAGTTGAAATTGTAACTTGAATAAAGTTGAATAAAGTTGGAACTTAAAAGAACATGAACTTGAATAAAGTTAGAACTCGAATTGTCTTTTTTTGAGTTTTTTGAACAAAAAAACAACCCTTAGACATGCGGGGATTACAGAGTTGATCAAAGAAGTTGTGGTGGCTAAACAAGCTCCAACGATTAATCGCCTTCTAATTGTCGGCGATGATTTCATTATTTTTAGCATAGCAATTGTGAAT